CATTCCATGTCTCCCTGTAGCCCAGTCACTTGTGTCCTGCTGCCTCCTGCGTCTCCTAGCAACCGCTCCGGAGCAGCTCGGTGACAGGCCACATCCGCAGGGCCCCACATGGTCTTTGGGGCGGTCGGTGCTGTCTCCATGCCCTCGCCAGCCCTGTCTGAATCTCCCCGGGCACCATGCACCAGGTCCTGCAGATCTGCGGGCGACAGTCTCTGAAGGGCTGCAGCTCTCTAGCACGGGCGTCAGCCTATGGGAAAGCAGCTGCCTCTTACAGTGGCTTTTCTCGTGTGAACTGTGGGGGAATTTGTAGGTGCCAGGCACTGATCTGGGTCACACTACGTTAGGGAGTTTGTAGACATGAAACAGAAAACAAAGGGCTTATCCCATAGACCTTGTAATTCAAGTAAGAGCTGAGGTCCAAATAAAAAGTGTCATTTTGGGCCCTGTCTTTGGGGTGCCTTGTCTATCTTTCTTAAAGGAATTTCCTCCATCAAGCCAAGTATTTTGTATCTTTACAATGGGTAGCTTTTCTTTACTTCTCCCTATATTTTTTATTTTTTGTTTCTTTGTTATTTAACTACTCACACACTGGATAAACACAATTTCAAAGAACACAATTTCAAAAATCCGAAGGATGGAGACATTATACAGAATTACTCTTATGAAATGAGACATTTCCTGGGAAAACCTTTTTTTTTTTTTTTTTTTCCCATTAGCAAGTCTTTCATTACAGGATTAAAAGCTGAGCTCCTGTCTCCCTTGTTGCTTCCCCAAATTAGGTTTTCATAAGACCTTTTATGTGTGTTCCTAAGTGCCACAGGTCTCACCTCTTCTGGCATTGCTGAAGAAATACATATATTAATAACACTACCCATTTCATGGTAATCAACTACAATTAGGAGCTCTGGCTAGGAAGGACTTTCCTAGGAAAGTATAGGAATGTATTTTATTCTTCATTCTCTTTCATTTTTTTACTACAATGATATCATTAACTTTAAAATATTTAGGACCTGATAGTAGAGGAATTCAAGTCCAAGTCATGTTAAATCTTGCAGAATAATCCTCCTTAGATCCCCTGAGATCCTGCCTACCATGTCTAATACTGCAAGAGGAGTTACCTTTGTAATGCAAACTTGGGCCTGCTAAATCCCTAGTCCTTGCACGTTGTGTCCACAAATAAGCCCTACATCCTCTGGAGAGGCTCAGGCCTCTGCAATATGGGGCTATTGGAAGAGCCTGAGGAGATTGTCACTGAGCCTGAGGGCTCAAAACTGGCATAAATGCTTCATCCCTTTGGCATTCCTGCATGTACATGTACAGCTGTAGTTGTAAGATTATTTCATTATAAACTGTGCTTTAGCACATAGGCAGTAAGATGAGTATCAGACAGAAAAGCAAAAACATCTGCTGGAAATCAGGGAGCAAATTATTGACCAGGGTTCTTGCACTTCATTATCTTTGCCTTTCACAGAAGTCATCACTGCATTCCCAGTGATTTACTATAGAGAGGAGGTAGCCAACAAAGTAGGGCAAAACAAGCTTGTCTTTGAACCAGACCTCAGATGTTCCTGTATCTAGGAACAGCATGTGGTCTTTGCATAGCCACAGTTATGGTATCATTTTCACTACATGCATTACTCTGTGGAGACTTCTATGCACATTCAGAATTAGTGGGGAGAAAGAGCTAGACAGTGGATAAAAACTAACAGAGTAAAGGATTGTGAACCCCAAGAATGGTCAGCCTGTTCTAGCTCTTTTCCTTGTGAAGATAATAGTGGAAATACCTGTGTTGTCTCCAGATGATTATGCAATTAAGAAAAATAATAATGCAGTGCCAAACTTCCTATTTTACCTTTTCCAATCTGCAGTTAAACTACAAATGAACAGAAAATGAAAGAGCTAAAAATACACCCAGGATCAAGGTCACAAGAATATGATGGTTTATTTTTAACAAAATCAGATAGATACATGTAAGTGGTATGGAAGCTGAGTGTGAAAGGTGTAGCAACAGAAGAAAAATGATGCAGATCATCATCAGAATGATGCAGAAGTTTTTGGTGAGTTTTTGAGGTTCTAGGAGCCAAGGGATTATCTTCAGTGATAAAACATGCAGAAAAAAAATTCATTCCTGAAATGTGAATGTAGAATTCCTGGTATGAAAATGTTTAAATTCCAGTAAAAAGGTCATTTGTGTTGTAGCCTGCAGTCTAATGTCTGTCAGTTTAATGATTTTAGAAGTTTCACAACTATTGAGATGATTTAAGCCATCGATAAGACTTCATTACTATTTTATTTAAGATCTTAGAACAAATAGAAAATAGAATAACYATTTGGACTTATTCAAATAGACTGTAGCAGAGCACCTTTTAATTTTATTCATATATCTGATTTTCTAGATAAGAAGGATCTGATAGTGTTAAATCTGTTAGCGTTAATGAACCTCAATTTACATGCAACTGCTGTGGTAATCCCTGGGTAATATAGGAAGGTTACGCAGAGGTGAAGCCAAAGAAGATGGGCCCTGGTTCAAGAAGTGGAAAATGAGCAAAGAGCTGAGGAACAGCCAGAGGCAGTGGGTTACACTGGCAAGTGACCTTTGGGGAGCTCATGAAGTTCCATGTTACTGAACCCATGCACACACCTACACATACATATACACGTGCATGCATTTATGTGCACACACATGTGTGTATGTTCAACATTAATAACACTGAGAAAAAGAGGAAATGTGCTTACTTAAGAGACATCATATAGAGAGATGCCAGTGATGAACAGGCCAGTGAATGACCTGAAAGACTACAGTAACAGGAATATCCAGTCCTATGGAGCACTGTGTGAGGTATTCCCAGGATACAGAACAGAGAGAAGTTTAATGCAATTTCAACGTGTACAGTTCTGGCAGTCAGGAATGTACAAGATGTTCGAGGTTGAATTGGAGCAGGTTCAGATGGGGTGAGTACAATAATCATGGGTCTGGACAGCCTAATTTGTGAGAGGAGACGGAGAGAATCTGTTCTTTTTAAGCTCATTCCTCCCCCAATAAAAGGAATTAGAGAATTTCATTGCTGTTTCTGTTTATATTTTGGGGTAAGTACTCAGATTGCAATTCAGATTTCAGTAGAAAGAAGAACCAGTTTTATCTTAAGGACCATACTTGGGTAAGAATGACTGGAGTTTTATTAGCACAGGAGGTTTCTGATTCTCTGAGCAGATCTGGTAGATCCAGAACAGGAGGAATGGGCAAAACTGTTGTAGGATTAAGACAGAGTTGATGAATGCATAAGTGGGTTCATATGTCAGAATTGCCTGTAATAGCTGATTTGTTTGAGTGGCTGGGATGTCCTATCCACACTCATTTTCTGAAGTCCTAAAAGAAAATTGTGAATATTGCATATAAAATATTTACTAAATATAATATTCACAAGAATGGCTTACTTATAAACAGAAGTGCCTATACTATCTTGAATCGACATGAATAGCTGTAGCAGTATGTGAGAAAATTGCTAATGGAAAAGCTGTGACCCTTATAGAGTTTAATAAAACTTGTTAAATAAAGATTTTTTTTATCTCAAAATAAAGTTTGAGAGAACTGATCCCACTCTTCCCTCAACTACAAAGGAATATTTTACTTCAGTGAGAGCTGGATGAGATGTTAGCTGAAAGACCCTTTCTACTGTGTATTTGTCCGCTAGCTAACATAGGGGCCAATTTATATGACAGTCTACCAGGCACAGTGATAAGACTAACAGTAACTTGGATATTTCAGCACAAAAGCTCTGTTGGAAACTTAACAGCATGACTTTTCATTGGCTCTCTATCAGTTTAATATTCTGAGACAATAACTAACGTATTGGTATGTGAAATTTATTTATTGTCAGTGACTTCAAGATAGAGCATACATATCGCTTTTCCCTTCTTATCAGAACTAAGTGTGTTTGGCCTTGATGGAAAGCCTTTTAACCTTTGTTTAAACATTAACTGTATAGTTGAGTTTCAGTTGTATTTATTGTTTGTCACTGTAGTAAAAATAAAGTTCACTGCCTCCTTGAAATGATTTTATTAGCTGGGTATTTTTGAGACAGCTATTTCCTTTTGTAACTTGCATATTTAATTGTTGTTAGTTGGCTTCTGTTGAAAAGGAGGTGAAGTTAGGAGCAAAAGTATGGATTCCACAAAAAAGGATGGAGAAGTGGATGTTAACTGCATATTACTGGTGTGTAAATAGCATGATTTCAGATGTCACTATAGGAGCAATACAGAGAAAAAGCAATAGGAGACTAAGAAGGCAATGTTTAGGAAGAGTCACCAAGAGGCAATGGAGGGATGCTGTGAAATGTGACTTGGATAAGTTGGAAGAAAACAACTGGCAAGCAGAATCGGGAAAAAAAAGTGTGTTTGCTGAGACAATAAAGATCTGAGCTCATCAGCATCCAAAGCAACTGATGAAATAACAGTTAAAAACTTCAAAATTAACTGTTAGTAAGTCATTATAACTTCAGAGAGACCTGTAGTGGCACAATGTCCAGATCAAAAATTCAGATTAAAAAAAAAAAGAGAGAGAGAAATAAAATATTGTATCTTGGTTGAAAGTCTTGAATATCAGCCAGTCCAGCCCAAGAATTTGAAACTATTTTGTATACTCTGGGTAAAGTACTAGATATGAATGAGTCCTAATCCTAATTGAAAAGGTACCAAACCAAGACATTAAGTCTTTCACTGTCCCATTTTGTACAATCTGACCTTGATTTCTCTAGTAGGACTCTGGAGTAACTAGAGCAGAATTAGTGTGAATGAGAACTGAATCTAGTATTTGGAGTTGGCAGAGGCTTGTACCGAGATCATACCAAAATAATTGCACTAAAACCATATTCTTGAAGCACAGCAGTGAAAAATATCATATGTGGCCTACTAAGTTCTTATCAGATATATTTCTTATTTTGCTTGGTAAAGATATATTTAACTGTTAACAAAGAGTAGAGTCCATGTATGGATACTAATTTCTTCATTGTCTTTTGTCTTTCAGCCCAAATACTTCTAGTTATTTAGTACTGACATGCCAGAACTATGCGCAAGAGCTGTCAGCAGATACTGTACATCTCTCCCAAATAAACACTGCTCACATTCACCAGAGTGGCAATAATGCCCAACCACATTATGCAATATCAGGTATTTCCAATGTAAGGTTCCTAAGTGAATCAACATACTATGTGGAAACAAAAGATACCAAAACCAAACAGGTATGAATCTTTTCAGTTAATGTAGTAGATACATATATTGCAAGAAATACAAATGAGGAAAACATGCAAAAGATCTGAGCCCATTAACATAAGCGCAATTCAGAATTAATATTAAAATTTAAAATTATCTGTGCAAGCTAGTCTGCTAGACCCAGATGCCACATGTCTGCACCCTTCTTCCTTCTGATTTTAAAGGAACATTAGTGGCCTGCGAGGAAGTCCCGTGTGCATCATTATACTCCACTTTATGACAAAGAGAGCACCCAAAGAACTGATTCTCAGAAACCAGCCTGTGAAGTGTCTTTGCCAACTATATTCTGCAGTCAGCAACAGCCTTCGTGTGGGATAGGTGAGAACCCACAGAAAGCTTTTTTATCTTGCATTTGATAATTGCTATCTGTCATCACACTTATAAGTTATATTTCTAGTATTTTGTCAGTACTTTTTGCCTATGTTGAGAAATAGCAAATGACATACACGTTTCACACACCACTATACGGGGAAGACCTGTCTGCAGATCTGATTTTTGTATCCTTTGCTATAGTGTATACTAGGGATAACACTACAGAAATCACTAGAGGTGTTTCCTTCTGACTATTAAGCATCCTATAAATACTGAATGTTTTTGTTAGCAGACTTCAGCCATTAAGTAACTCCGTAGTAGTAACTACCCCTTCACTGGCATAAATAAAACATAAATCTTTTAAACTAATCACAGTGGGGAAATACCTCTGTTTTAAAAATATACATCTGGAAGATGTAAGATTATAAGACCCATTCTTCAACTATCCTTAATGTATAAATACCTGAAACTATTTTTGAGAGAGCCTCACTGCATTCTGCTGTCAGAGGACAACTGTTTACAGTGTCCCCACTAGCTGACTGAACATGCTGCTACCTTGTGCTTACTTCTAGCTGCCACACTGCACTTTCTGCAGCGTGAGACTACCACATGCTTAGTGAAGGTCTGTCTTGCACAGGCTCAGGTGGACAAAACAAATCCTCTTGCTCTTTTTTTGCAGCCTTCTCTAAAATGAATTAATGCAAGCAAGTCTAGACCTTTTTTAAAAAAAAAAAAAGAAAAAAAAAACCTGCCCAGATGGGTTCTGTGTCTTGCTAGTGTTTTGCCAGCAGAAGGGCTGGGCTTTTATTGTCTGCAGTTAGTGCATTTGGGAATCTAAGCCCTCCATAAAATCAATCTTGCATGAGAGGGGAGGAGGCATGCAGCAGCATATCTGTAATAGCTGCATGAAGTGAACTGAGCGACCAGAAGAGCAGCACTGGTAAATATGTCCTTTTATGTACCTAATAGCACTGAATTAGCAGCCAGTCAACACAGACTGCTGCTACTGTGATTTTTGTCATTTATTTTTACATGTAGAATTTGCTGAAGAGCAGCTGCCTCCCTGCATTTCCTGACTCCCTGCATATTTATTCTGAGAAGACAACTGGTTGATGAGCCAACACCCTCACTGAATATGCCAAGATCAAAAGAGGCTGCTGCTGTCCTTGCATGGTATCCCAGTATAGCAGTGTGGCAGCAGCACTCTTGAAGAACAGTAATGTCTGTGTTATGGCTAAACTACATTGTCTTCAACAAAAAAATGATTTGTCACATGAATGAGTATTTAATGTCAGCAAGCATTGTGAAACACAATGGTCTCCCTAGTTGTGATCTCAGAGCATTCTGAGAAATGATGGAATGGGCCAGAGATTATACAGTGCCAAAAGCCTTCCAGAAACTTGCCAATTATAGACATTAGCAAAGAGAGAAAGAAGACAATTCTTTGAGCAGAGGGACATTTTCCCACCTGCCTGGGTGTAAGGGGGTGCTGCTTCTCAGTGTAGGGCTCTTTCTCCCCGGAGCTGATGGTGTGGATTCATTCATTTCTTTTGCAGCAGGAACTAGCCACCAGCAAGCTTGCTTTGCCCCGGGGCACATCAGGGAACAGAACGGCACTTGCTGGCTCCTTTACTCTGCTACAGATAACGAGAACTGTAGAGAAATAATGGCACAACACAGATAAGCAAAAATCTCKCCAGAAATCAATTCCCTTGGCTCATCAAGGGGTCTCTATCAAAGTGTTACTATATAAGTGAAGAAAGCAGCCAGACATAATATAATTAGTTAACTAATAGGTAGATAGAGATAGTTCTGATGCTGAAATGCTGTATGATGTTGAGATAGAATGCCTATTATAACCTAACAGCTTCTTTTTTTGTTGTTTGTTTTTAATTATACAGACTACTTTGCAGTGAATGTGTAGCCATATACAAGTTGCTTATTTATAAAACAGTGTTTTAAGACTTAGCTATGTATCCCTAAACTTGTGTGGCAGAAAATCAAAGGCCAGACTGGGAGCTGTGACAGTTTCTACTAAGAATGATCCTGTAGCCTGGAATACTTTTCCATGGGCCATATTGCCTTACCTGAGCTGTTCACAAATACTGTGTGTCCTGGTGACAGAAATCCTTCAGGCTCTTCTAGGAAGGCTCTTGGCACGCTTGTCTGTGCAATGTTGGCCATGTGTCCAGGCAGATGGAAGTGGCCTTTCACAGAATCCCAGGATCATCTGTGTCCAAGGAAGAGCAATTTGATATGCAAGCCCTTTTCCATGGCATTATTACTTCACCAATTCAATCCTAACTCTTGCCTCATGGATTTGGTCAGTGATTTTGGCAGTACATAAATAGAGTTTGTTTATAGCCCTGGAGACTACAGACTGTCCTAACCTGGTCATGCTGCAGCACCAAGTAGGAAACTTGTAGGAAGCTCCATAGAAGCACAAATGGGGAGTATTCAGAGCTCTGAAGTAAGTATTATTCTATCAAATTTCAAGTGGCTTGTCCAAACCCTGTTTCCTGTTGAGCAAATGGGAACTCTTGATTTTATTATTAAGGTATGGGAACAACCAACTGAAAGCAATCGCATTTACTGAGCCCACGGTGTGACCGTGCTCTGTGCGGCGCCTGTCGGGTGGCAGCAGCTCGAGCGGTGCCGCCTGCGCAGCTGAGCGGGGCAGATCTGCTGYGGGGAATCAGCTCGCCCACAGCAGGGGGTTCACCCTCACCCTCGAGGCTTTCACTCACTGTCACCACACACTGGGGCCGCTGCAGCGTGGTGCAATCTACTCCACACTGCACCCTGAGCCCCGACTGCTGGGCAGGCCCAGGACTGAGMGGGAGTAAAGGGCACCCTCGTGCCCTTTTACCCCTTCAACTCGAATTGAGCAACGCTTAATGCAGCTGAACGTCTGGCCCCCACAGACAGATACAATAACCAGTCTATGAGAATGTTCATACCAATTAAATCTTATCATCAAATCATTCTGTTCCATCACTCCACTTAATTAGCCATGGTCTTTGGTATTTCAGCAATGCTATGCCATGCCAAAAAATGAAAGTATTCTTTGTGTGCTATACACCCCAAAACTGCCTCTCTGCCAGCCAGGGTCGGATCAACAAATATTTCTCCTGTGCCAGAATAGTCTCTGCTGGAAAACATAATCCCCTACGCTGACTTTTCAAACCAAAATGAGTTAGAGTCTAAAGTCTTTTAGTCTTGGGCAGCCAACTGAGTGAAAGGGAAGCTGGTTTCTCGTCGGCCGTCTTGTGGCTTTTGTGTGACTTGTGACATCTTATATTTACAAATAAAATACAGTTCCTCYAGTGTTACTTGATAATATAGCCTTTCTGGTAATAAAAAAGTAGATGGGGAAGACTGTAAAAGGGCACATTATCTACTGCAAAGGAATAGGAATTAGCTGCTGCAGTTAGCAGGCAGCAGCGATGAATCAGAGCTAGCACCTGGGCCCTTGTCTGCGCTGGGGCCGTTGACGTTATGAACTTAAATTAGTTGATGGTCTGAGTTCATTTTGTTTTGCATAAGTGAAAGCATCCAAAAACTGATCGATCACCCCACCCTGCTTTTAGTGAGAAAAAGCACGAAGGTCACTTCCCTGATACACACTCATGCTGGGGCCCATTTGCACTGCCAGTACTTACCTGTGACAAGGAATCAGTTTATTCAGTGGAAATATAATCTATTTTAATAGCACCACCGCAAATCTACTCTATGCCATTTGAGGCATTTGTCAAAGGTGACAAAGCACTCAGCCTATTTTTATCATGCAGCAAATCCTTTTTCCTATTCTACTTGGGACTGAGTCCTGTCCTTAGATATGAGCTCACTCTTCTCTTTCGCTTACATGGAAGTGTTGAGTATATGGCTGAAGGTAGAATTTGGCTGTGATCTGAAGAGATGACATCTGTAATCCTGCAGATACAGAACACAAAGGACACAGACAGGTGCTGTTAAACATCCAGCCTGCATAAATATATTTGTAAATCGTATGTGTCCCTTGTCTGCATCTTCAAACTGCCTAAACACATTTGAAAACCTGGCTTTGAGAGGTTTGTGTTTGGTCTTGCAGGAAGTCTGAGTGCTGATTGGAATTGGATCTGTATCTTTTAACTGCTCATGTAGAACTTAAATCATAGTAAGGAGTCTTCCTCTGGCCAAAAAGCACCACTGATGTTTTCTGTCTCTGCTTTTCTCAAATTCAAGATCTTTTTCCTCCCTTGAATTCAACTCTTTGAAGTTTCAAGAGAGAGGCAGAAGTAGGGCTGTATGCAATTTACAGCAACTGGCATGCACACTTAAGGTATCAGGCCTCAACTGATGTTTCCAAAAATTCTTAAGTGACACTGAAGCTCTAGAACCATTTTCAAAAGTGACATAGGTCTGAAGATTGTCCCCCTGCCAATTTACTTCAGTGAAACTGAAGTGAAACGTGAACTCCAGAGTTCAGCTCACTGGAGACAGTGAAACCCATGGATCTTAAGAGATTCATGGTCACTTAAAAMCAGATTATGAAGTATTTGGATGCTTCACTCCCACTGTATTTTCTCTGAGAATGAGAAACCTATATCAGTTTAAAATCACTRTCTTAAAACTCTTAACTTTCAGAAGTTTTTACTATGTTTTTATGCAATTGCATTGCTCTGTCTGTTACATATTACAGCTGGAATGTGCTTCTGCCTGCTTGTCTGTCACGTGAAAGCCTCTCATTTTCTGTAATCCATAGAACTCATTTCAAAGTTTACATTAACATGAAATAGTCAGTCCGATCACCAATAGGCTTCCAACATTCTCGTGAACCCCTGGTGTTACTGAAGAAATTGGAAAAATATTCATTCACCTCCACTGAGCTAAAATTTCATTTTCAGTTTGAGGTCCTGATCCTGGGGTGCCTAAGGACTTTGTCCAGAGTAACTCTAATAAATATAACATTAGTGTTCACTGAGTTCAACACCAGGTCTCTTCTATCTTTTCACTTTACTGGCAGTTCTTAGGGAAGGTTGTAGCTCTTGTTTCCCTTCACTATGCTGTGTGTGAGCCCAGCAAACTTCTAACATAGACTTTCTTTGCTTCTGTGATAGGAGGTTGCYTCCCTGATCTGTCTCCTGATTAAACACTGGATATCACCAGTTTAGCCACATGAACTCAACAAAAATCTCCTTGATCCTTTCCAGGTGACACAGGCCTTCTGCTATTGCAACTTTATTGAGACGGATGGGCCATCACTGGTGTCAAACCACGTCGTCTGAGGTCAGATATGGACAATTAAACCTTCCCCCTCACTTCTCGYGCTGAGATTGTCAATATGGGAGATTTCTGGAATCTCAGTGATGAACAGCAGCTGGCAGAGCCTTCCTATGCAAGTCAGTTCYAAGATCTAGCTGCTGTTGCATTAAGCTGAGCAATAATATCAGTTTTGGTGCATGAAACAACCTTGCACAAGGAAAGGCTAGGTCAGAATACACTGTGGCTCGAACAAGCTCTTTTACCATGAAGGGGTTCATTTACTTGCTGGGGAGTGCAAATATTTTTGCTGTCCTTCACACAAGAGCCTAGAGATCTTCCCTTTGAGACCAAGTTTAAGCCCAAATAATGAACCACTTTGTATGATTGATGGGGGATGTTGTGCACACACCCAGAATATGTCATTCCCAATCAAAAGGAAAGCAATTGTTTCCATATGTTGGCACACTTGTGATATTGGTGTTGAGCCAGTTGTCTGGCTGGGATCAGGCTGCAGTATCTAACAGTAATGGGAGATTATACCTTGGAAGTGGGGTGCTAACTGACTGTATTCCTTAAAAGGATATGAACACTGAACACTTATCCAGGATGTAATTTATGGTTCCAGTATGTTTTGGCTTTACATAGATGAAAAAATAGTCCTTTTGTGTATGCATATATGCATAAAGATTCCTTCTTGCTCACCCCCCCTTAAAAGGAATCCAGTAAAACAATAGCTGGTGCTGGTCTGTGTACTAACATAGCTGCATGGCTATCGCCTACCAAGGTTTGTAAGGATTCCTCTTTTTCTCTGATGACAACAGACTCTTTTGCAGTAATTTGTAGTTTTGAAAATAATTTAATTTTTCCTGTTTTTGAGATCTAGTTTTGCTAAAGTGTTCGGCTGGAATGCAGGCTGCTTGATCAGGTTTCTGAAGTTTGAAGCTATTTGCACACTGCAGCACAAACAACTTAATATGATTTTAAAACTTTGGAGACCAGTATGATTTTAAAACTTTGGAGACCAGATCCCCCTATGCTAAAGCCTGACTAATTCTGCCGCGTCAAGCATATGACAATGTATCCCGTTAGAGGTGATAAGTTAAAGACTACTAGGGCATTTTTAATAAGTGAAGAAGCCACTGATTTAATGTGTTCACCAACTTCTCCAGCTATCTAGAGTGAAGTTGCCAGYTGAGCCAGTGAAGCAGCCAGTGAAGCAAAAGTTGTGACTAATTTCAGCTGAATCCTTCCCGAAATGTCCATGCCAGCAATACAAAGCCTGCAGTGAATATTGTACGTGTATTGTGTGATCCCATTTATAAACCATACAGGCAGGTTGTTAGAGAGACACAGACTTCTTTCTGTGTCACAGCCAGGCCTGTCTTTTGGGATGATCTCACTGTGGGGTTCTACAAAGTGCATTCTTTCACTCCCTGAATTGTGAGCAACTGTCAAGTGTTTAGTTCTGTAGCCAAAGAAACTTTGCAACTGTGAGACACAGTGGGCAGAAGCATTCAAGTCACTGCAGCAATGAGAATTTCTCCAGCTGAGGATAATGAACATATCAAATCACTCTCCARCATGCACGTTAAACTTGGGGGAAGGCATAGGCTGGCATTTTAAACAAGCCTAGAAGTATTTGTCAGTTGTACTGCTGGAGTGTCTTGGAGGCACGTGCTGACCATCCTTATGATCCTCCTTGTGCAGGACAAGTCATAGTTCACTTGAAGCTTGTAGGGATCCATGAATATCTACAAGCCTGTATATAGGCATGCTGACCAGCACACATTGTAGGAACTTCAGTACTTATTTTTGCACTTCCAAACTGTATTTTTATTCTGGATTTCTAAATGAACTTATAGGTAAGAACATTTTCTTTGTTCTTTCCCTCATTTGAGGACTATRCTAGACTTTACAACCACAGTGTTAACACTTTTATTTTCACAACATTCTGGTGGGTAAGTATATATCCTTATACTGTTTCTGTAGCTAGCATAGCCAGACAGTGGGGTTTTACTTATCATTGCCTAGGATTTCTCTCTCAAGTAAATCCCAATTGGCCCAGTATAGTTGCCTGTAAACTGGAGTTTACATCTAGCCTCTCTTCTGAATCAAATCATTACTAACCAGCTACTTTCAGCATTTTAACCATCTTCAAACAGTGTATTTCTCAAAACTATCTCTATACTAACCCAGAGAGCTGTGGCATGTTAATTGCAACCTCTTTGAGGCAGTTTGGACAAGGACTGGAAGATTCAATTCACTTAGTGACCTGCATACACATCCCTGAGCCAGATATGCCTGGAATCCGGGCGCTTAAGCACAGCCTGCCAATTGTGCTGACTTTGAGGAGCTCCTACCGCTCACTTCTCTTTCCATATCTTCTCAGTAGTGTATTTCTTCTGCAACTACTCTTACAGAGGKTTTTAGAATATAAAGTTAGGCTTGACCTAGTCTTTGCTGCTATATGGGACCTATAGACCACTGTTTCTGTGATTGTGTGTATGTTACTACAATAAATGTCCTTAAACTAGCTGATTTGTTTACTAGATGCAGGCTAGCTGTAGTAGTGGAGAGCTTGATGGAGGCCAAGTATGTTTCCTGTATATGTTTTTGAGAGAACATGCACTCTAAAAGCTTTAAAAGCTTTTAAAATTTTAAAAAATTAAGCATTTTTATAATTTCATAATATATATTTGACGATATATTTTTGGAATATCATATCAATATATATTTTCCAGCAAGAATGGGGTCTTTCAGAAGACAAAATCTTGGTCCAACAACAGCATAGCAAGAAGTCAGGGTCTATCTGTATGCTGCCAGTGGTATGATAGGGGTATCAACAGTTAATTTACAATATTCCAGCTCTTCTCCAAAATTCAGGGTTTGTTTGACTTGCGTGCCCTAGTGACTACAACAACTCACCTGTTACCAGTGTGCAAATGGAAGTGCTGTGGCCTACATTTCAACAGCGACTTGTGAGGCCGCCTGAGCCACTTGAAGCACTTTAAGCAGGCCAGCTTTTCAGAAAGCTCTGAGCACTTGTCCCCAAGAGGATCTGGCCTTATGCCATATCACAAACTGAAAATTTACATTTCTGGCCATTTTGGAGAATGTGTTTGGAGTATTTAAACTGTGCTAGATATTTGGTATTTTCTTTCCCCTTCTGCCTTCACATGTCCTGGTTTGGTGTGATGGGTCAGTCTCTATTTCATTCAATATTAATAGTGAAAATTATAATTATTCATTTATAGGGCAATATTCTTGTGTTGATTGAAAAAATGTCTAAAAGATTGTAGAAAAGGTGGCAGATAACATAAAGAGCTAAAATGGTCATGGGATAACATGGAATAAGAAACATACCGTGAAAAGAAGACTTGCATTTGCCAAGTGCTCTAGCAGACCTTTTCTGTCTTGCACTTTAGCTGTTCTTGCACTGAACAGATCTACCAAAATCTGCCTGTGCAGCCTTCATCCTCACCTCAGCAAAGCTTAGTGGCTCTTAAGCCATTTCTGCAATGCTGCCCCGCAGGAAAACATTGAATTATCAAGATATAYGTGCAAGCACAGCTGACTACGCAACTCACTGTGCCCTCTGCCCCTTGCAATAACCCTTATGGCTTCATTTCTCTCTCAAGCTGGCTTCAGCAGCTCAAGAAAAGCAGCTATCACTTGTATTTTGTGCAGCACGTAGCGTGTTTGTGCAGGCCACCTTGGACCATGTAGTACAAGTGCCTCCTAACAATACTGTGTTTCCTAGCTCCACTTGCAACTCCTAGAATATCCAGAGGTCTTCTGAAGAATTTATGGGAACAGACCTCCTGTAGCCATCAGTGCCATGCCAGAGAATCTCCTAGCGAACCCATCCGAGGAAAGGTAAGACAATGTGCATCCTGTATGATTAATAGCATCCAGGAAGCTGGAGGAGTAAGTTTATCCCAGAGCTTCCGACTGTCTGTTTAATACTGAGATCTGTTGTCACACGCTTTAGAATTGCCAGCAGTTATTATTAATGACATGCTCTTTGTATTACTAATATATGCTCCATTTCATTTTCGTGTGTATTGTAGCACCCAGGCTTCCTGCAGTTTTGATAAACAATAACCTAATGATAAATCACACAGTTTGGATTTCTAAGGAGTCTGTTTGTACTCTGACTGCACTGAACCCAACTGTCTTGGCAGGCAGAAAAGCCAGAATGAGTTAGAGCAGGATAAGGACTGATGCAGACTTGGATGCCAGGCTTGTAGGTGCAGACCCTTAGCTTTTTCCAGGCCTCGGTTCTTAGGTGTTTGCTTACGYGCTTGTTTTAAGTCAAGAATCTGCTATAATAGAGAACTAATCAACAGACTGTGATAGATCGGGGTGATCTGGTAGATCACTCAAAATGCAGAGTGCAGTCGTCAGAAATATTTTGAAATAAACACATCTTGTTTGTTTTCACTTCTGTTTCTTTGGAAGCGGGAGCCTTGTGTAACGCTGATGAGCAAAATCCTCGGCGATGCAGTCATAAATCTGCTGGCCTACAAAGGCAGCGGTTCAGCCTCGTATCCATAGCAACCCACGTGGCAAGAAATGAAATCTGATATGAAGAGACCCGCACAGAAGAGCCGTATGCGAGTCACACACTTGCTGGGGCAGAATGGCTCTGAACCAGAGAAAGTAAGATGCATTTTCTTTTACTTGTTGCTTCTTTCCAAGTATTCCTGCCGTGCCCGTTTCATGAATAAAATGGGCTGACAAACCAGCTATTATTCCGTCGCCTTCAGCTATTCGGACCTGCGCCAATGGCCAGTAGAGAGGCCGAGAAACAAGTGTTAGCTTTGCCAGCACTTGAGCTAATAAATGAACTCAGCTCACAGCTGCATCTACGAGCTGCTTATGTTCCCCTGGCTAATGTCAACCTTGTTTCCCCTTCCACCGACATGGAGCTTTTGTGTGCACAGAGATAAAACCAGCGAGTGGTCGAGAGTTCCTGAGGGAACAGAAATATTCCCGAGTGCTGGAGGGTCATGTTCACGAGGACGGCCAAAAACAGAGAAAGGAAACTCGGTGGAAAGCCGAATGACCTCACCCAGTCTCTTCCTGCAGAATTCCTAGGAGACACTAAGCTCTGCAAATCACTTATCAAAACCAGACGTCAGAGACATAGCCAAGGCGTAAGGCAAGCCCCAGAATTCCTGTGCGAGGACACGAGTTCAGGCATTTCTCAGCCCGCTGAGGTGGATGTCATCTGTCCCGCTGACGAAGAGCCCTTTATATCCTGCAGCGAAACACCCTTCCATAGCTGAGTGGGTGGGTTACCTGCTGGACAGAGAAACAGGCGGACGCTGATACCACCACCAGCTACTGAAACAAACCGAGCCTCGAGTCCCTGGGCAAGGCAGTGCCCTTGCTTATTCTAATATCAATAACGCCAAACACAAGCGGACACCAGCCAATTGTTAGAGGGAACACAATACTTCTTTGACGCACCAGCAGCTGCACCGTACTTTGATGTTTCTAAAAAACTATATACTCACCAAAACTTTTTTTTTTTAATGGCAGAATTTCAATGCTTTCTCGGGAGCATTTTCCTCTTGATTGTTTATATGCAGTCTGCAAGGTTGGATTTTAAGTTACTTAACACTTTCAGAGCTGCCTGTTAGAAGTCATGGTGATTCTTGAGGAGGTACTTTSTTTTTCAAAGCAGCTTTGTTTTCCTTTTTATTTTTTACGTATTTCTAGGTATTTTATTTTAAATGTTTTTGGTATTAACCCTCTCTTTGGACGCTGCAGTGTGGAGTGTGATTTCACATGCCCTATGGTGGCAGCTTGTGATAAATGGAAGTCATTGTTGCTTCCATAGGGAACAATGGCAGCCAAGAGGGACAATTTGCTGCAATCCACAGGAATGCAAAAATAATGTCACTGCTCTGGACCACTAATGGAGCTGAAGCCGTGGAGGAAGCCCTTCTGAAGGATAAGACAATGCTGTTGCATACGATTTAGCCTTTTTTGAATGATTTATTATTATTATTATTATTATTATTATTATTATTATTATTATTATAGCCCATGAAACCAGAAAGCAGCTGATTTACTCTAGATTTTCCCTTCAGGCTAAAGGAAAAGAATTGTTCAAGAGGATGAAGGATAAGCTTTACCAATGTTAAAAATATTTTCAATTTTCCCACTTTTTACCAGCAGCCCCCAAAATTCCCCCTCCTGTTCTTGTCAGGAAAACTCAAATTGTAACTCAAAAATTTAACTTACAGTATTTCATAAAAGAGCAAATTACTGTCTGCAGTAGTCACACTGACTGCTCTTGTATGCTGGAAGAGAGTTCATTTATACTTTTGCTGTAGTGAGAATAACAAAAAATCAACTAATCAACTGTCATRTTTCTACTTTGAGAAAAGCTCAATAATTGTCTTAACTATAATTTTCCTGCTAAACTTGCATGCTTTATAAGTTTTCCTTTTGAAGACTGATAGAAAACTGGGAAAATATTCTTTTGCCATTTGGGTGGAATTTGTTTGAGATAGTGTTTACTCAGCATTAGTAGATTTCCTGTATAATAACCCAAATGAAAACATACACTTAGAGATATATGCTGAAGAACATTTTGTTTTTCTTCAGTTGACAGTATAATAGATGAAACTGCTGTAATTTGGCCTGCAGTTGTGCATGTTCATTGATATCACTGAAAACTGCACAGGTCTATGACTGCATGCAACTTAGCCTCCACCATCATTGCTTTATTAATAACAGATTACAGCTGTAGGTACAGACCCTGCCAAAATGATCAGATCTTTATCTATTCTAATATAATGGGATTCTCCTAATCCTTTTCATTAAAACTTCTATTTCCATATGATGAGTGCTTTATTTATAGCAACTTGATCAAGTGGGGATGGGGGGAGGTAAAAGAGGGAGCGTGAACAGTTAGAACTGAAATACTCTCCAGAAACACCAGCACAAAAATTGGCCGTGAGGGACCTATCCTGAAAAGAATTACAGCCTTCTGGGACCCGGCATGTTCTCAGTCAAGTTATGATGTTGAACCTCCGATGTCAGCACAGTAGAATACAAATACTTCAGTAAAGGCAGCAGATGAACTGAAGTTCATTCTTCCTGCAGTCACAGGGGATGCATTTAGGATATCCTATATACTTAGTTATCTTAAAAGCAAAAGGAGAAACCAGCTCTGCATCCATGGCAGTCTTGATTACTTCTCAAGATGAATTTTTCAAGTAAGGTAGAAGCAGCCTAGCATTATGTTTAACTGGATATTTTCAGAAAGCTCACAGAAATCCAGAACTGTGTTAATTTACTGTTAAGTTTTGCAATGAACAATTTAAGATAAAATCTCTTAAAAGAATGAAACACCATAACAGCATCGATGGAAGAACAAGTTAACATGATGGAGAAAACATTTCCACTGCATCTTTTAAGCATCTTTAGTCTCATGAAAGCCCAGAGTGCTTTCACTAACCAACTTCAATTTCATCACTTCAAAAACACCTGAACCTGGWCTATCATATTTGTAGTCTTGAACAAGTTGCATGTAACACACAGTGTTGACAGTATTTTCTAAAATAAAGCTACAAGAAGCTTTTCCCCCTTCTCTTTGGAATTGTCTTGTCTGTCAATGCCATCTGATCTTCCTGAATAAATTAATCCTCTTTTCTCCACACAGAAGAGATTAAAATCACAGGTACTACTATTTCAAATCAGGAAGCAATGTCTATTACAAGAGAAGAGCCCATGCTCAGAGGAAATTGARCCAGAAAATGCACTGCCACAGAGCAGCCATTGGGCATGTATTATCCAGTTGTACGAAGGCAGTTTGACAGCTGCTATTAAAGTGAAAGGAAAGTCAGTGCCACTTTAAAAAGCAGCTGGACTGTAACTTGTGTCATCAAAGGAGGAGTCTGAGGGAACTGGCAGTCTTAAATTCAAGGATGAGAGAAACCATGGAAAAGATCAGATTTTTTTCATTATGACGAGTATAAGTTTTAAATGTCCAACAGTTCTTGTCACTGTCCATATTCCAACACAAAGGGTCAGGCTGCCCAAGTCCTTCCTTATATCATTTATTTCTACTTGTGAGTAACATTTCTACTCATGGTTTACATGAGTAAATGTTTCCAGGCTCTGTTTAATATTTCCTAAAATTATTGCATGTTTTTTTAAATTTTATTCACATGCAGGAATAAGACTCTAAATATACAGTCCAATGTCTGTCCTGCTTCATGCAGTGTGAGAACACCTCTGTTTTAATCTTTTTGACAACTTCCTTTCTGTATCAGATCTACCTTTTGAAGATGTTTCATTCCTTCTGAGTTTCCCTGTGGATTCACAGTGGCTATATTGGCTCCTTGCTGGTGTTCCTCTGCTGTGTGCTCCAGAAGATCTACTAACCAAGTATATTGGTCTTCTGAACTTTGTAAACTTGTTCCTTTAGCTGATTTCTTGTTCCACTGGTGAYACTTTAATTTTCATCATATGAAAGAATTTCATTAGTCATTGTAGCTACGGAAAAACATCACTCAGTGCCATTTCATTTGAACTTGTCATTACAAAATGCATTAATATATTCTGAAAATAGCTCCCTTTTCTATCAGTGACACCATCAAATCATATAATATACGTATGTACAAAGAAAAAGATATTACTTTCTTCAAGTAAATCTAAAACAAAACCAGTTTATGGCTAAAATAATCTGATGTGAAAATAATCTTATCCATGAAATGCCTCAGGACAGCTAATGGTCAAAAAATCCAGATATTCTCAGGTCTGASAAGTGCCAGGACATCGTTACAGCGACATGGCAATTAATGGCATGAACAATCAGGTGCTGCAGTTTGGAAGCGTGAGCCAGGCTTCGTTCACAGCTGTATCCATCCAGAGCCCTCCTGTCATGGGAAGAAATAAAAAAGCTGGGACAAATCTTCTCCCTAATTCTCCGCTGTTCCCGGCATTTTCATATACATCCTATAGTATACACATCTTGTGATAAATCGCTTTATTCTGCAGTGCCCAGGACCTCTGGCAGTCATCAGCTGTGCCAGTGGAACAAAGTMGTGTAACTTGCTCTTGGTATTCGCAGTGCTAGGTTTGACAGGAGGCTACATGGAAATGGGCCATGAAACCTGCTATTGCTCACTCTGACAGACAAGCTAAGGTCTGGGAGCTCAGCAGATTCCTTTGGTTTACGTTCTGTAAAAGTTCTTCTTTTCCCAGCACTCATTCCATGGATGTGAGTGGTAACTTGTCTTTTTCACAGGTTTCGCTGTATGGCTGCTCTCAACCTGTGACCAACACTGAGTTTTCAAACTGAAAATTTTGAAAGATGAATTCAAAATTTTCCCTCCATATAAATCTTATCTTTTCCAGGTTAATCTCCTATCTTGCCAGCTCCAAGAGTTCTTCTTTCCCACCCCAGSTCATTCACTCAACCACTGGTTCTTGCATTTCTTCATTGTAGAAGCTCTTTTTCTATATCCTTTTCTCTGAACAAATTTCTTGCAAACTGTTGTATTGTCTCCCTACCCCTACTTTACTTTTTTCTTATGGTGCTTTCCGTTTGTAACATTCCACCTGGAACAGACTCCCCAGGTGACCTGCACTTCCTAAAAGACAGAAAAGTAACCCCTGTTGTGGCAGCTCCTCTGAATAATCTCCATAGTCAGGACAACAACAGGTGTTAAATAGTCAAGWGGGTTATATCATGATTAACTGGATCCCTGCTTTAATTTGCCTGCTTCCCCCATGCCCAATTCATGGGTGTCTTTCTAATAGAAATGTAGTAGAGCTGTGGGCTTGAGTCTAGACCCCCAGTGTTGACTGTAGTCTGGGTGATAACAGGTTACAGCCCCCCCTTAGAGCCATCCTACTGTGATTCCTGTCATTTCAAAAGATGCTCCTTGTGCATCACCTGTGAGCTATGCTGTCCCTTGAGCCTTGGACATGGTCTTCATGGGTCTTTCCAAGGAGGGAAATTAGAGTCCAGAAGGAAGCTACATGGGAGGAATTCCACAGGAGAACCCTAGCAGAGGCTTCTGAGCCTTCCTTGCACAGATTTTGTCGCAATTGAAGGCTGGTGTTTGCAAATAAGTGGAAATAAATGCTTGTGAACAGCATGGTTAAAATCTTGCAAATGTACTGACATTTTAGGACAGCGTGTAGTAGTACTGAAAACCAGAAGTTCCCGGCACTTTTGTCCAGAATCAGCATTTGTCTTCAATGTGTTTAGTGACATTTTGTGACATTTGGATGTATTGTTAGGAGCCCAGTCACAAGGAATTCCTTTAGAAGCTATGTAGCCCACTGTGTCTGGGGCATTGATTTGTGAACTAAAAATCTAATCTTCAAGGCAGCAGTGAAAAAGGTAAAAGCTATTTATTATCATTATCATTATTATTATTATTATTATTATGCTCTCAAAGGTTGGCAGTCCAACCTGCAATCACACATGCGGGCAGGTAAGGAGATGCAGATTTTTTCCCTACACCTAAAAAAGAAGAGTTTTACTGTGGATTGAAGAAATTCATTCACAGGAGAAGTCAGGCAGTGTCCCCACTGCTGTTCTCCCTGGGGTGTGAGTGGAGCCTAGGTGCCTTCAGCTGCTTTCATGGCACAAGAG